TGTATTCGTTAGTTTTTAAACTCTTTCTAGTTCTGTCTCTGTTCCAAATCTTTGTCTCTGGTCGGAAACTAGCAGAACAAGAAGAAGGAAACGAGTTTCAGCTCTTGAAGTACCACAAAGGTGCTCTTCTCTCCGGCAAGATCTCCGTTAACCTAATCTGGTACGGAAAATTCAAACCTTCTCAGAGAGCAATCATCTCCGATTTCATCACTTCACTCTCACCACATTCCAAGAGTACTCCTCTCAACCAACCATCTGTCGCCACGTGGTGGAAAACCACCGAGAAATACTACAAACTCGCCGGAGCTGATAAAAACCCTTCTTCTTCTTCTCTCTCACTCACTCTCGGTAAACAGATCCTCGACGAGGACTGTTCGCTCGGAAAGTCTCTTACAAACGGAGAGATCCGTAAGCTAGCTTCAAAAGGAGACCAACACGATGCGGTAAACGTCGTTTTGACTTCAACTGACGTGGCGGTACAAGGATTCGGTATGAACCGATGCGGGACCCACGGATACGCTCCTGGTTTGGGTAAACGTGGCACCAAATTCGCTTACATCTGGGTCGGAAACTCCGAGACACAATGTCCGGGTCAATGCGCGTGGCCATTTCACGCGCCGGTTTACGGTCCGCAGAGTCCGGTTCTAGTTGCGCCGAACAACGACGTTGGTCTAGACGGTATGGTGATTAACTTAGCGAGTCTTTTGGCTGGAACCGCAACGAACCCGTTTGGTAATGGTTACTACCAGGGACCACAAACCGCACCGCTCGAGGCTGCTTCGGCTTGTCCTGGGGTTTATGGCAAAGGAGCTTATCCTGGTTACGCTGGGAATCTATTGGTGGATACAACAACGGGAGGTAGTTTCAATGCGTATGGTGCAAACGGCAGGAAGTTCTTGCTCCCTGCTTTGTATGATCCTACCAAGTCGGCTTGCTCTACTATGGTTTGAAAAACAAGACAAGAAAATATAAAATCTAGTGTTGGGTTTCTTTTTGGTCGGTAGTAGAAAATAATATTTTATATGCTAGTGTAATTCTTTTATTCAATTAATATTATTATCATTTTTCCCTTATTGCCGTTTTGATTTTGAAATAGTTTTAAGATTATTTTAGATGTAAATCCAATCAAAATTATGGACTGAAATCTTGCCGCCTGATTAGGCCAAACCAAACCAAAACCAATTACTACGTACATGCTTCATATAAGCCAATCCAGCTTGTTAAACAAAAACAATGTAACTAGAAAGTAAAGAAAATTAAAATTGTAGCACAATTAAAGATAAACACACTATTTTCAACGTATTCGAATCATAATTGTTGTCTTAACCTGTTTAGATTATTCTTAGGACGGTAACCCCTGAATTACTATTGAGTTGCTGAATTTTTAGTGATTTCTTGCGGAATTTGCTAAATAATATCAAATTTAAATGGTAACTGTAGAATTTGTGGAATCTGCTGAATTTTTGAAAAAGTAATTAYTTAAATAAAGATAAATTTTTAAAAATACCACTTTTAAAAAATGCTTCCTTTTTAATATTTTTGTAAAAATACCAATTTTTGAAAAAACAAATTTCATTAGATCATTTATGTTTATGTTAATTATGTTGTATTAGAGTTTAGTTTTGAAGGTTTAAAGGGTTTTAGGGGTCAAAACATTTTTTAGGGTTATAATTTTAAGATTTAGACTTTAAAAATCTATAATTAGTGGTATTTTGRAWATAGACACTCCTAAGTGGTATTTTTGCAAATGTACATACCAAAAATGGCATTTTTACAATTGTCCCAAATAAATTAATAGATTAATAAAACAAATTTATATACATAATTTATGATATAATATTTTGCTATTGAAAATTGAATTATTTTTTAGTAAACCTAATTTGTAAAATATTACAATATTATTTTAGAATTATCAAGCAAATTTAGTAAGATTTAATCACACTACATATATATTT